AACCCTAAACCCCTAAGCCCTAAAGGAGAGTGGCGGTTTGAGAACCCGATCAATGCTACAGGCTGTTTGCCTGGCTTTGCTTTTGCTGCCTGGCGGAAGGGGTCGAAAGCCCGCAGGGCGCATGAGCAAGATTGGTTTAGCTGAGACCTACAAACCCTAAACCTAAGAACCCTAAATCCTAAAACCTTAAACCCTAAACCCAAGAACCCCTAAATCCTAAAAGCTTAAACCCTAAACCGAAAAAACACTAAATCCCAAAACCTTAAACCCTAGATCCGAGAACCCTTAAATCCTAAAGCCTTAAACCCTACACCCAAGAACCCGTAAATCCTAAAACCTTAAACCCTAAACCCAAGATCCCCTAAATCCTAAACCTTAAACCCTAAACCCAGAAACCCCTAAACCCTAAAACCTTAAACCCTTAACCCAAAAACCCCTAAATCCTAAACCTTAAATCCTAAACCCCAAACACCCTAAATCCTAAAACCTTAAAACCCTAATCCAAGAACCCTAATCCTAAAACCTTGAACCCTAAACCCTAAAACCCCTAAATCCTACAACCTTAAACCCTAAACCCAAGAACCATACATCCTAACACAACCCGAAACCCAAGAACCCTAAATCCTAAAGCCTTAAACCCTATACCCAAGAACCCTAAATCCTAAAACCTTAAACCCTAAACGCTCATTAGCGCAGGGGTACCTGAACCTGGCGCAGCCCTTTGCCATGAATCCTGCCCAAGTGCCATCAAAGTTTCACGCGACCCGCCTCAAAGGCCAAACCTTGAGAGCTTAAAAGAGTGACGACTCAACCACTTTGGTTCATACACATGGGGTTTAGGGCTTAGGGTATGGGGTTCAAAGTTTAGGGTTTAGGGCTTAGGCTTTAGGGTTTTAAGTCTAGGCCTTTAGGGCGGTTTAGTCCGATCTAGCGTTCAAACCCCTGCGCAACCTCACCTTCGCTGCTCGATAGTTTATAAAAGGTAAAGCCAACAGAATTCCGGGCTCCAGCTTTGTTCCAATCCGCAATCCACAGGCTCTACGTTAGCTGGTCTTAGCTCCCGAAAAATGCCGCAAAGATGCGCTCCTGTAAGGATATGAGCACAAGTGCTCCCAACTTCGACGAGTTCGATGCATTTCACGAGTTTTACTGGTCCCACCCGGACTCCAACTACGCGGGGCTCCCGGTTCGATGATGATAGCGACTATGACGTGCTAAGATGTTTGTAGTGCTCCCACTGTTCTCTCTGTGTTGCTGCTTCTGCTTGTCATATCTACTACTTGGTCATACTATGGTATTCTGACCCCTAAACCCTAAACCCCAAAAGAAAGCACGTGGAATGGCCTAGACGTGAACTCCTTGCTGCAGGATCTTACGCCCAGCAGCAGCTGTTGACGTTTACGTAGAAGCCTTAACGCTTTGAAAGGGGTTTTTTTACTCCCACAGCTGTAGGTATTCCGAAGTGTCATTATATAAGTGCTATGATGGAACATCTTTGTTAATTGTGTGGGCTTCAGAACTTTGTGACATCGGCTCGGGTCTCTACTAGCAGTTTCATCTTACTCGGATTTGGAACTTGATGGGCTCTCGGATTCTGTTCGAGGAAAAGTTGGCCAGGAAAAGCAAAGAATGCCACGAATGCCTGGGAGGCCAAAGTTCGCGACTCGTTGTTGCCTTTCCTTACATTGACGCTTTTGAGGCACCCAAGCTCAGTAGAATCCGCATTTTCGCATCTTCGTAGACCCGTGGGCTGCTGGCCTGCAGCGTCGAAGATGTCGCAGCAGCGTGTCCTGAAAGTGGTTGTTATTCTATATGCCTTGGTGCGCATGGCCATCAATTTGTACTTTTCCAAGCTTGTGCTTCTTCGTTTGCCCCTTCATTTTCCTTTGCCAGAGAATTGGTCGCAACAACGGTGGCGAGGATTCGGACCTGCTGATGCTCTTTGGCAACCTTGGTTTCTCTGCAGCAGCTGGCCACAAGCGAAGGAAGCTTCTGCTTTGTGTGTGGAGTTTTCAGGAAGACTCTTGACACAAGAAGACTGCAAAGTCACCGTGGATTACACGATCCTAGCAGGTTGTTTCGCGATGCCCTTGGTTCCCGCCCTCGGAGCCTACATCCTCCTCAGCAAATCTGATCGGTTTGCTGAGGACTCGCGACTCCATGTGTGGTGTCGCCGCAACATCTTTTTCTTGGCAGCGATGTTCTGTCTTGACCCTGGCTTTACCGCCCCTGTCGAACTTCACACTATATCGTACTACATATTTTTGACTTGCGAGGTTCTCTCCAATGGCATGCAAGCGATATGTACCAATATGAAGCTGCGATGTCTATCATGGGACCGCACCGCCAGGTGTTGTGAAGTGCTTATGGTGATCTTTGTTTGCATGGCTTCTGTCATCCTCGTGCTATACAACACGGTGCTTGCCGGCTTGCCAGAATATTTTACGTATTCTGTGATTTGTTTCCTCACTCTCCTGCCGATATGTGGTGCCATTTTTGGTTTCCAATTTTGGGCCTTTTGCTGCACCATTTACGCGGCCAAGACACAATATCGGGACAACTGGGAAGATGTTCGCTCGACAGTCCTTCTTTTAGGCATCAATGCCTTACTGACGTTGATTGGGCCCCTGATCTCAGGTGTTGTAATTGCATGTGTGGCGATGGAGCTCTTTTCGCGAAACACAAACATCTCCCAGCTTGCTGGTTCTGAACTGCTAGTTGCTTTTGAGTTCGGTCTTCAAATCTTCAACTCACTTGTGCTATGCGGAATGATTGGTCCATGGAGCAGGCCGACCGAGGTTTTCACTGAGCTTGCTACACGTGGCTTTGTGGTTGCCAAGCGCGTGCCGTTTAAAGGAGTAATAAACCCTGAAGCTCGCGGCTGCATTGCCTCATTCCCTGGAAAATACGCTGAGCGGTGGGCTGAAGCTGTAGCTGAAGCGACACAGTCAACGGATTGCTCTCTTGCCTGTGTGTTCCTCACTGATGCAGCATCAGGACTTGGAATGCACGCGCGCAATCCTGAAACAGATGAGTGCTGGTGCAGGGCTCTCTATGGTGACGTGCCTGCCGAAGCATACCTCAGCATTGTGGACAAGCACGATAAGGACTTTGTCTTCAGAAGGGCTGATTCAGAAGCCATGGGTCAACATTTGCTCATCAAAGACTCCAGTCTCAGCCAGCTTGAATGGGACACCAAGAAGGAAGCAGCAATGTGCCTGGTAGAGAAGATGTCTCGGGATAACGATCGTCGAGCCCCCTGGGGCTGTCAATGGTTTGAAGAATGGATGAAAAACATTGAAGCAGCCTCAGGGCAGAATCAACAGCTGCATGTCTTCTATTTTCAGAGCTTAGTTGGGCGAGGCAAAGTTTCATGGTCCCAGCTTTCAAACGAAGATGCCATCGAAGCGGCTCGAAAGTCGACAGGTCTCGGGGCTTCCCAAACGGCGGAGGTGGCCTACCTCGACAAGCTGGGCTTGCCATATGTCGAGCATGATGTGATGGACTTTCCTGAAGTCATGGCACGATTGAGAAGCAGTGAGGTTTTTCAGAGCGTTTGAAGAAGAAGAGAGTCCTATCAAGTTGCTCCAGAGGTTGGGAGCTGCGAAAAAGCAAAGCGTGAAGTGCCTCCCTTGTGAAAGGCATGGCGCGACTGAGATGATAAGACAGCTGCAGGAGCAGGTACCACAGATACGGATATAAGGAGACACTGTAGGGGCCTAAATAGTTACCTATATTATTCTGCCAGACTCGGTCTCGGGTTAAGGGCTCAGGGTCTCGGGTTCCAGAAAGAGGCCGGAAGCATTCCCTTGTGATCCCCAAAGGCTTGCAGCCTAATTACTATACCACAAAGCTCTGATCGAATCCTTCAGGCAGCTATACTAAGTATACTATACCCCCTGAGCTTTTTAGCTGAGGCCCGAAGCTCTAGGGATTTTCATGGGTTCAGGGTTTAAGGTTTAGGGACCCCCCTTTATCGATGCCTTGGTCTTGCATAGATAGGGTGGATCGTTGCGTGCATGGTCGCTCCAGGCATCGTTCCCTCTCTGAAGAAAACAAGACTTCGGATGGACAAGAGCCTTCGCAGAACCCCCCTTTAACTGCCGACGTGGGAGGTGATCACTACAGGGCCTCCTTTGAGTACGATGGGACCAGGGTTGGACAAATTGAGGGTGCTCGAGTTGCCTTTGAGACAAATTTAGGGGCTGAGCTTGCCAGCGAGCAAGGGGGCGCATGTACCAGGGCTCAGGGTGGTGACATGGATGGGCTTAGGGTTTAGGTTTTAAGGTTTAGGGTTTAGGTTTTGGTATTAGGTTTTAGGGTTTAGGCTGTTTAGGGTTTAGGTTGCGACATGGATGGGCCAGCTCTGTCGAAGATCGGGTACAAGTGTGAGGGATTGTGAGGGTTACTAGTATTTTGGAAGAACCATGCACGTTCTGTCCGACCACCTTCCCTATGGGGGTTTTCGAGACATCCAGGCAGATCGGACAATATGCAAAAAAAACACCGAACCTTTAAGACAAACGCCGACACCCTAAACCCCAAACTAGAAAAAATCCTTAAAGCCTACAGGAAAAGCTCTTTAAACCCATACTAAAAAAATCCCCCAAAAGCCTAGAGGAAAACTTTGTACCAGGTCACGAGCCCTGTGTTCTTCCATCGGAAGACCAAGGGACAAGGACCGGGGTACAGAGTTTTACATTGCAGCTGCAAGAGGGGCTTTGGGGGTTTAGGGTTTTGGGGGTTTAGGGCTTAGGGTTTAGGGCAGTTTAGGGTTTAGAGTTTAGGCTTTAGGCTTCAGGGGTTTAGGGTTTTGGAGTTTAGGGTCCATGGGTCTGGGGTTTAGGGGTTTATTGTGACGGGGTTAGGGGTTTAGGGTCCAGGGGTGAGGGGTGAAGGATTTTTGGGGTTTAGCGGTCCAGTGTTGAGGATCTGAATGATTAGGAGAAGGTTTCGGGGTATACCGTACTACTGGTAGTATCTGAAATCAAAAAAAGCCCGAAGGAATAGAATCCACAGTAAGCCTAGAAAAGGGCCCGTAATAATAGTTGTAACTGTATGAGGGGTTATGCAGGAATGTGTTTGGCTTTGATTTTGCTCGGCGGCTCTACAGGGGTTCCTACACTGGATTTGAAAGTGACTGGGGATTCCGCAAAAGGTTTTAGGGTTTAGGGTTTAAGGTTTAGTTCAAAGTCGGAGGAGTACAGACGAGCTACGGCCCAACCATTAGGCTTCAGTGTTGAGGGTTACCTCCCTATACTGCAAGGTTTTTCATCCCCTGCCCATGCAAGGAATACTCTCCATGCACGCCTGCACCCTCCGGCGCACCCATCCGGAATTGCCAGGTGCAGGGCTCAGCAATAGAAGGGCCGGAGGTCTCGAGTAGTGTAGACCCCTGAGAAGAACCGTCTACGCTCCCGCACACACTTTGGTGATAATATGAAGTACGGCCCGTCAAGACGGGCTCTATCAATCGGGTTTACATTGGCTGAACATCCTGCGTGAAAAAGAACTCCCCCCCCCCCAATTTGCAAGTCTGCTTTCCTGGAAACATGCGATGAGATCATATGGGGGTTTCCGAAAATAGGGGCCCTAAATAGTAGGATCCCGAAATAAGGTATCCCTAATTTTCGGAAAGTCCCATATGGGCCCTAAAATGCCCTAAAACATATTTCTAGGGCCAAGGGGCAAAGGGAGGCCTCCGGCCTGGCTCTTCTTTCCGACGCCTCAGCTTTGCATGCGGGTGGCCCTGGGTCCGCTCGGAAGTGGCGATGCAAAATCAGGCTCCCTGCAACGCTGAAATTGCCCCCCCCCCCAAAAAAAAAAACGAAACAAGGGCAGCGCCTGTTCTGCAAGACCGAAGCCCTGGGGTGCAGGCGGCAAGGAGGTCCTGACCGTTGCCAGCTCCAAAGAAGAGTGCCGTGTTGCATGGGGGAGTGTTTCGGTGTTTCGGGGCATCTCAAGATTCAGGATGTAGACATCAACCCTAAACCCTAAACC